TGGAAATAAATGTACATTTCTCTGCATTATTCTGCTTTGTTATAGGCCAAGAAGATACATTATCAGTGTAATCCACCTAAAACAAAGTTTTTCGATTTTCTTAAAATCTGAGTTGTACTAAACTACCCCCTATTTTCCCTCGTTTTCTAATAGGTGGGTAAATAATACGTTATACATTGAAAACAAACTTGAGTTTTATGAAGTTGTTGGTTACATCTATTGTACGATTCATTGATAAAAGGATTGAAATGAAAACCATGGCTACATGTATATACAAACAACAACAATGAAGGAAAAGTCTTGGCTACAAGTTGAGCTAGTGTGTTGACAATAAGGGGGGTTTTGGGACTAAGAAATACATCTTTTCTGCTGCCATCTTTCTTAGATTATAAAATATAAATCATTGTGTGACATCTGTTACATTAGGTAGCTTATCCAGTCCTGTTGGATAGGAGGGATCACCGTTTTAGTATCTATGTTTTGTCTCACACTTTAAATCAATTTTTTTTGATTTGGTTAAAATTCCTAGAGCGGGGTCACCACTTCGTGCTCCCGAGTTCGCACTACCTCCCCATAAAAAAATGAAAACCCTTTTGGATTGTTTTTGTTTGTTTTACCATGGGCATTCAAAATGAGCGGTGCCATGCTTCCCTTTTTGGTAATATTTCAAAAAGATTTAGATTAAGTATATGTTTTTAGCATTATCTTTATAAGAAAAATCAATTTTGAATATGATTAAAACATGAAACATGATTAATCTCAATTAAAAGTAAACAAAAAAGACCAATAAGGAAAAGAGGTATCAAAATGTTCTCTTCGAGTGTTGCATTGTGAGTAATTATTCAAGAACACATTCCAAAAAATATAATTTGTGGGGGAATGTTCAGTTTCATTATTGCCATAATTATGATGAATTCCATTCTCTATTAAATTATCAACATGTATGCAGATAATCATGTTTTTAGTTTTTGGGTTATTTCTTATAATCATACATGAAAAACACAAAACAAGATTTCCCTTGGAATGTGTTCAGGAAGCATTTCTTCTCAAATTTTAAAACCCGAAGACAATGCTTACGTATGAAATATGGGAAGTTGCCTACCCTCTATTGAAAGCCCATGATTTTACTTTTTTGTCCAGAAATAGCATCTTGAATTAGTAAAACTTTCCAGCATCTTTCTAGAAATAAAACAATTGAAGAAGCATTTTATTCAGTTCCATGTTTTGACTCAAACACATATAAAGTGTGAATGGTAAAATTATCTAATGAGCAATGAGGGGGCTATCCCATACACACAAACAAAAAGAGAGATTGAGTTGGATTTGTTAATTTAAACACTCAATATGCCCAGAAATCACCTAATACCATATTGAAATCATAATAACGACATGTAACAGGTACCACCAACCCAAAAAATCATTAATTTACTCAAATACATTAACAGTGCCCATAAAATAACCAGATAGCATCTTGAAATAGTAAAAATTTTCAGCCGAATGGGGAAACCCTCTCTTTAACATGAAAAAATGTCACCACCTTCAAATGGTTATTGGAAGTTGTATGAATTGTTGCAGACACCGATATCTGAACACTGTCTACAAAAAGTTGGAGACAACAGTCAAGTGACGTAAAAAGGGTAACAATTTTCGTAGATGTTCGCAAATACTTCTACAGTAACCCCATCCCTTAACCTAACCTCTAACCCTAAAGAAGAATCCGAATTACATTCGGCCATCTCTGATTGCATGGCATAAGTACTCTCACAAAATAAAATTCCACATAAGTGGAAAAATATTTTTTCACTGAAATATTAGGCAATATTGCATGATGAATTGTGAGGAATTAGGCAAACTAAGATTGTTTTATGTTGGCATGTGCTTTAAATTGGAAATTATAAAAATTGTGTATAAAACTACTATGAGTAACAAATTCATTTTTTCATTCAGGATGCAACCAACAAAACACATGCATAATGAATGGAAATGACCTTCAAGTCACAACAAAAATCATAAATCAAAATAAATATCTTCTTTTATTCTCATTTTATATCTAGATATTTATAGTCTATCACAACTTCTGTTAAACAATAATGATACATGTAAATTAACACTGAAACAGTTATGATGACACCCTGTATATAAAGAGTACTTAAGTGTTCTGTATATATAGTCTGTATATATATAATATCTGTATATATAGTCCATGTCTTCACTATATTTTAATAATATTGCATGGCCATTTGAAGAATAGAGATATAAAATTTAATTGCATTATAATTGATGTACTTCAATAATAGTAAAGTCATACTTCATAACAAACAGAGTAGAACACCATGCAGTAGCCTAGGAGTATGAGCCATGGTTACCATGACTACAATAACCAGAACAACGGCAATGCCAAAGCATAGCGAATCCCATCGAACAGAAATGGCTGGCATTTTTACAAACAAAATATACATATATATACATATATATGTATAGCAAATATCATAAAATAACACCCATAAGAAAAGCCACAATTTCAAAATGGTTGCTCACTAGCCAAGTTGTTATCAGAAGAAGTAATATGCTTTTAAGTTGCCACATATAAAATTTTTAACAAATCGCACACACATACATGTAAATGCTAGCCATTTTTTAAAATGGCCACCTACTACCCAAAATGTCATAAGACAGTATGCAATCCTTACAAGTATTCACATATCAAATATGAACAAAATCGCTCTATTACTTTTTGAATTATAATAAAAAATGTAAAATAACACACATAAAAATGGTAGCTATTTTTCAAAATGGCCGACAACTCCCCAAAGATTTATTTATATTAGACAATATGCCATGCTTAAAGTATTCACATATCAAATATGAACAAAATCACTCCAATACTTTTCGAGTTACAATAAAAATGTAAAAAATGACAACCATTTTTAAAATGGCCACCTTCTACCAAAAATGGCAATAGACATTGTGCCATGCTTAAAGTATTCACATACCAAATATGAACAAAATCGCTCCACTACTTTTCAAGTTACAGCAAAAAATCATAAAATGACGTGCAAAGGCAGCCATTTTTCAAGATGGCTGCCGTGTATTTATTCTGTATTTACATTTCTAGCTTAATCAATGTCCTATATAACTTTTTTACATTTAAAACATTTTCGAGCAGAACTTCTACCCCCATTGGGTATATGTGTACAAAATATGAACAAAATCGGGCCAACGGTATTTGAGTTATTGCCCGGACAGACGTACGGATGGTCGGAGGCGTTTCCTATATCCCTCCAAACTTCGTTCGATGGGATAATAAAACTTATAAACTGGAAGTAGAATTTATGAAATATGTAATATTGTTATAATATTGTTATAAATATTGTTATAATATTGTTACATGTTAAAGCCTCTCATTTCAAGTGTTATATTATTCTTACTAATTGAACTAATTGAGTACAAAAATGAATTGTTTCCCGAATAAATAATTTAACTCTGCAATTTAAAGACAAAATATCTTTCCAATTCAAACTTTCCTTGTCTGGCCTGAGAAAATCAAGCCTAAGGTCTAGATTCAGTGAAATGGTTCAAACTGCTAAATCTTACAATCAAACAAATATATATACATGTACATTACATTGACATATATCAATATCAATGTATACTAATAAATTTAACATGTATTTTCATACATACATTTAATTACTTCTTACCTAGTAACAACCCTTCATACATTGCATTAATATCCCAAAACAGGTTGATTTGCATTCAAATCTCTTCTTGAATATAACCTGCGATAGATTTTTCCAATAAATCCTGCCCCCATTTGGTGAACCAAGAAACAAGAGTATATTGGCTAGATTTATGACGTCATTCTATACAGGCAGCAATAAAAGTTCAAAACAAGGAAAATAAGTAAATCCCATTTTTGTATGGAAACAACCAATCACAACCAATAGATGGCGCGGTAAGAATGACATCATAACCAATAGGTGACACTGTAAAAATGACATCACAACCAATAGGTGGCAGGATTTAGTGGATTGGTCTCCCGGGGGGTTCACTATATATAAACCTTGACGGGGATCCTCGGCGCATGTGGGGTACCTTTTTCAACATTTGGTATGGCAATGGACCCATATTTTAGGATTTGGTATGGGAATGCCCGGAAATTTCTGACTTCTGAGGTATGGCAATGGTCGGACTTTTGCTCTTCTGGTATGAGAATGGTCGTTGTAGATACGTAACCTAACATTCGTGGTATGGCATTGGTCCAGTAGTTGCAAATTTGAAGTTGTTTTGGATCGTTTCCCGAAGTATCTTCTTTTCCAGGGCCTTCTTCAACTTTTGAATTTTAGCCCTTTTCCCGGGAAATGAGGACCAATCATAGGCTTTGATGAAGTCTCGCGAGATTTTTCGTGACATTTGGTATGGCATTGGTCCTATAATTGGACATTTGGTATGGTATTGGTTCTATATTTGGACATTTGGTATGGCATTGGTCCTATATTTGGACATTTGGTATGGCCTTTGGGCCTTATTTTGGTTGGTATGGGAACATATTGAAATTTGACGGATTGGTATGGGAACATATTGATATTTGAGGCTTCAGCCTAGGACCCCCGTCGAGTTTTATATACAGTGAACCCCCCGGGATTGGTCTATTGTTCTAAATAATTCACATTCAGCTGGTTAATTTTAGCAAGGAAAATGCATCAAGTGGACAATGCCACAGTTTTCCATTTGTGTCATAATGAATAGTAAAGATAAAGCTGTACATGTTGTAAGTTATAGAAACATTATAGGTCAATAAAATAAGACATTTCTGAGCAGTAATAATAAAAGTAGAAAAAACTAAAAATTTGTTCATTGAACAGATCTACTAAAGTTGTATTTACTATTTCACTCACATTACAACTAAAAAAATATGTTTCTTTAGCAACAGATGTGAAAATCATGTCCTATGCTAATTCTCTGTTTTTTGTGACGGCGGTTGGCGATTGGTGGTTGGCATCTGTAACATATGGTGGTGACATTTTGCATGTTAATGCCTTGTTTAGATATAGCTCAAGCAGCAAAATGGTGCTCAAAAGGGGAAAATTTGAAAAGGTGGCAAAAGAGCTGGGAATAATGGTATAAATTATCAGCATGGACAAGCCTTCGTTCAGATAAATTCCAGCTTTCAAATGCCCCAAATAAGTTGATTGATGGACAGACAGACAAACAGACATAAAGAGAATAGATTAAAAAATAGATTTGAAAATATTGCAACTTTGGCACCTGGCAAAAAGGCATACATTATACTAATGCTGGTTGTGAGAAAAATCAAGACACACAATTAGCCTGGAAGGAGTTGCATTGGATATGTTAGAAATTACACGATTTAAAGCTAAATGTACAGCATGTGTAAATACAGTGTCATTCAGTATGATTTTCAATATGTAACAAGTAGTAATTAATGTCTACATAGATCTGGAGTGAAGGGGATCAAATCCCTGTAAAACCTGAATATTATGGAACAAGCTGAAAGGGTTCATATTGCGAGGATATGTAACATCAAAATGCATCTCCTATCGTGGTTGCAAACATACACAATACACATACACAATACACATACAATATAATAATGTAATAATACACAGTTGGTTATTTCTTAGTCATACCTTGACCAAATAATATCCCTGAATAATATATACTGGATTTAGATATCTACTTATACAATACAATATCACATTTTTCTGAATATGTTACTCAAAGCATTGCATCTCTGTAATTTGGAGACGAAAAAGTCCTATGGCCGTCAAGACTTTTTGTATGGACAATATTTGATTGTAATCTCCTAGGTATTACAGAACATGTACAATGATTGTGTAGAGAGGCTATGAAGGGTTCAGTTCCTTGTGTAATCTTCGGATTTGCTGTGGTGTCCTATGGCAACCTGGAAAAAATTGTTTCTTATTTAAACAATTTTCAAGTAAGGATCTACATATCATTTATACGCTGTTTTATAAATAAGCTTGAATCTGAGTAGTCTTCTCAGTTTGTATGTGGCAGTGGAAATTTAATGTATTAGACAGCTCAGAACTGGGAACAATTTAAGATATATGTATTGTATTGTATTATATATTGACTGGTCGACAGTTTGAATTCGTGACAGCTGAATAAATTGCTAATGAAAATTAATTGACTAAACATTATTAACTTAACTTTTGAAATTGTATTCTTAAAATGTATATGTTAAATAGCAGTCTCTGTGTAGAGATTTAATTCTTACAGTCTTAGTAAGGTAGTAGTCGACTCCAGGAGAGATCAATAGCCTTTGATTACTTTATACTACATAACAGCTAGAGTAATATATGTTAAATTAATACCTGGTATAAGTTCACACTTCCATATTGTTATTGGGTTGATGGTGATGTTTTTAGACTTACTCTCCCGACCCCCAATCACCAGCAAGCTTGTATTTGCTATAGCGTGCTTCTGAAACATAAAAGCATTTCTAAACATACAAAGTCCAATGGATATAATCATAATGATCAATTCTGTGTATCTCATCATTTTGAATGAGTTTTAGAACATTTCGTTTTTCTGAAGTAGGCTTTTACTTAAAATAGTAATTATGAAGTGAAACAGGAGAGTTTCACAAAGAAAACACAAACAGAGCAGAAGTATGATTTGCAGAACAAAAAGCAAATATCAGCATTTTGTTTGATTTCTTTATTTTTTCAATATTATTTCAAAATAACCTTATTACATTGCATATGTTGTATGATATAAGTAGTAATTACATAGCCTGTTTCAGTAAATTCACTCATTTTACGATCACACCTTACCTTTTTACCCTGTGAGCAGAAGAGATCTTTTGGAACATTCCGGGTATTCACTACATCTTTTTTGATCACTGTACCCTGGTGGGTATGTGACCGCGCATGACCTCGACCTTGACCTTTTGTTGCTTGCTGCTGACATCTATACTTATCAATACTGGTGGGATCAGCCATATACTTGGCATTGTTTGCAGACACTTCATGTACCTTGGTGATATCAGTTTGTGGTTTACTTTCATGACTAGAGGATTCAAAATTGTTGTTATTACTGGTGGGAGAGTCAGCTGGAAATTTCACTTCAACTTTTCTTGCTGATCTCCTATATTTTTCAATTGAGCTCTGTTCAGTTTTACATATACCATTTTGTTGTACAGTAATTATTGTATCACTCCAGACTTGATTTGATTCAGTTTGTGAGTATCCATATTGCAATACAGTTGTGTCCGTTTTTGGTATGGAATGCTGATTTCCAATAAGATATGGCAGACTTGGGCTCAGCAGCTCCTCTTCTTCCTTGGAACCCTTCATCATCCAATTGTTCAATATATTATGCTGTGTAGTACTGGTATCATCTTGGTTTATTGCATCATAGTCATAATCCTCAATATCAACAAGGTTAATATCTTCATATTTCTCCTGGTATGTTTCAGATCTATGGTTATTCAAAATGTGTATATTAACACCTGAGCTTTGTTTGGATTCCATTTCATCACTTTGACTAATAATTTGATCAAGTTGAGTAAATGATGTGATCTCCCCCCTAGGGGATGAAGTAAGGGATTCTAACGACCCACTGCGTACTAATCCTGGGACGTAGTCATCTGTTGTGCACCCCTGGGTGAGATCACCAATACTGATACATTTTCGTTGTAAATCATGAGTCTGTTGGACCATAGATCCTGGATTTCTGGAAACATTCCGTTCATTTTTCAAATCCAGTGTCTCAATACTACTGGATTTCGATAGTTTCTCTCTAGAACGAGTCAATCTATATAAAACTGATTTATCAGGTAAAATACTGGCTTTCAGTTTGTACTTAGACTTCAAATTGGACAAATTTTTATCACAGTTATTTGGACGAACTTTTTCTCGAGAACCAAGTAAAGAATCTTGACTTCCTTTATAGGTAATATTATCAAAGCTTAGCATATTCATAGAATCGGTGGAATCTGATTGGCCATAATGTAGCAGCTTTTTTGTGTCCTCAGTCTCCTTGAAAAGCTGTCGTTTCGGTAATGCAGATTTGAAGGCTATATTCCGCATGATATTGCCAGAAGGACTCAATATTTGTGGTTGATTGGATTTCTTGTTTACAGGCACCACCTGATTCGATTTCACATGTTCTTGTAAATTTGATTCATAATAATCCTTCATGGGACTGGGTAAAGGAGACACTCGATTCTTAAACACTGGTCCTGTGTTATCTGAGATCACTGGAGGGCTAGAATATGGTCTTTGTGGTGTGTCATGATTTGCATCAGGCTGGTCATGGCTGTCCCGCAGATAAGGCACTGATTGTGTCCTGTCAGCCTGGGAAGCAGCAAGATTCAGTGGAGTAACCAGACACATACTGTGCCAAATTCTTGGAGGTGCTATAATAGAAGGACTTAGAATCTTCTGCCAAACTTGAGATCCTGAAATATAAAACATTAAATATGATTATTTATTTTTTATTTATTTCTTATTCCCTTCATATAACAATAAATCAAAATACAAATTATTTACAGTGGATACCTAAAATAGGTGTATATACTGGTTGATTAAACATAAATTGAATATAGTAATAGCGCAAATAAATAATTAAGTATAAATAAGAGCACATTAATAGTTGTTGGGGAGGAGGAGGGAGAGTGATAGTAAAATGAAATAAAAATGATTAAAACTTTTTCCTAGCTCAGTAGTACATGTATGTGATAATCTTATGTCAGATTAATAGTTTTCACTAAATTCTTGACGAATCATATGTTCTACATGTAAATAAAAAATAAAAGAGATTTTTTTTGTTTTCTACATTGCTGTGGATTTTTCAGCAAAGTACATGTACCGTTGGTTTACTTACCAAAGTGATATTTCCAGAGTTCATTCCTTAATACCCCCTCTATCTCCCCACCATACAGGAGCATACCATCGGCAACTTTAGTGGCTGTGTGGCCAAACAGGCTACCTGGTCCAGGTTTTGTTTTGACGCGTGACCAGTTTCTGGTAACTGGAAGAAAACATTATTATAATATTAACATATGTTAATGATAAAAGTAAAAATCAAATATTGTACAAATATTTCATTCTCTTGAGATGAATATATGAGCATCTTTCTCAAGTAATATTCCTTAAGGCCCAAATGGATGTGCTTATGGGCAGGGAATATGACTAGTCTATATGGCCACACTCTTGACTGGGAAAGAGGCCTTTCGATGTCCAAATCAGGAAATGTATGAATCAGAGTGTGAAAAATATTGCAGTGACATGATAATGTATATTATAACATACCTATGATGATGTATAGTGCAAAGTGTATACAATAATAATAATGTATATCATTACCCAGTGGAAAATAGAATGTCACTGATTATAAATACACTATAATTATTATGATGGTTCAAAATGAAAAATGCAACAAATGCTTATTAAAATGTTTATCTGTCACTTCCAAGTCTCAAACTGCACACAAATAATCTAAATAAACTAGCTTTGCCCAAGTCAGTATTTTTGCTTATCTGATCTTAAATTATTACGACCTTGTACAATTGATTGAATCCCCGCTGATATTATGAGAAGTTATTCAGCGGTTCCGAGATTTCTATAATTCCTACGCTGTCAGGGGTATCACAAAACCGTATTGATTGGCAAGATCGTGTGGACACGACGTAACTTCAGGCTGATTGACCAATCAAAACAATGTCAGGTTTACTCGCATAATCAAACCAAACTACCCATCTCCGACTCAAAATTTTCAATGATCTGATCCCGGGATCTGATAGAGTATTATCTTTAGAGTTACAATATATTATGTAATTAAATGTACATTGGAATGTAAGCAGTCACTAATATAAATTAAATCATGCGATTCAATGCTGATTTAAAACTGAATTCGCGATGAAAATATACGAAAACCTCGTCCATGAAGTCGGATTGATCTGAATCTCAGCCTAGATCTAGCTATCATGTTAGATCATTTCAGCAAACTTTTCAACGTTTCTTGTTGAAATCTTTTCACCTTTGGGTATCCAATTGATGCTCCGACATCGACTAAGCTCTGATTGACATTTATCTGATAAAATATTTGTATTTTCATGATGAATTTGTGCAAGATTTGTTCGTGAAAAGTGTTGAATTGTTTTTACCGTGCATAATAATGAGCAAATGCTACAGAGCCATCATTGATTGGTCAAAGGACGATTCTCGGTTTGGAGAACAGCCTCCTGGGCTAAAAAAATTTTCATGAAAAATATAGAAATATTACCCAAATTAAACTATGAATATTCAAAAGAGGACAATTAAATCTACAGGATGTAAAAATAACAAATAGGTCTGAAGCAGGGATAATGCTCAAATAGACCGATTCAATAAAATACAAGTCTCGATTTGGGGAAAGAAGTTCATCAGTGTACTGCGCTAATATTTTTTTGCGAAAAATCTAGAAATATCACCCAAATTAAATTATGACTATTCAAAAGAAGACATTCAAATCTATATTGTGTAAAAAAAATCAAATTTTTCCGAAGCAGGGATAATGCTCATTTAGATTGATGAACTTCGTTCTCCAAACCGAGAATCGTCCTTTATTGACATAAACATTGAGTCTGTAAAGCATGTGGCTTTCTCATTGGTACAAGGCGGTCATAATAGACATCAAAATAAGTAAAACAGACCGACTTGGGCAAGGCTAAATCTAAACTAGAAAAGCCAAATAAACCACAGCAAGAAACCAGTAGACTACATGTCTTAGAAACAATCCATTTTAATCATTTCATGATCACTGGGGGGTATCGTGATGCAACAACACTGTGTTGTTGCATCAAGATGGCCAGACTTCCGGTGATAGATTTTCGTACGATGTTTTGTTTTCCCAATTTACACCCATTTCTAGGACGAGTTGCTCAATAATCATACACATGCAGTTAGCCCATGATCTATATTTTAAAAAACTGTCGTTGGTATACATGTAGCATCTTCAAGAAGCGATAAATTCGTGGTTTTAATTCCTCACTATTGATGCAACAACACCACTCTGATTCTTATCGATGATGCAACAACACCAATGTGCTGATGCAAAAACGCCAATATAATGTATCATTGAACAACAAGAGAAACTGTATGTTCTGTTTACAGGTGTAGGTCGGGACATGAATAAAACGCATGAGTCATGATCAGTGGTCCATGAACGAAACATATTTTGTTTGGTTTCTTTGTCTATATCAAAGTTAAAAGGATATACATGGTAAACTAAATAAAGTACAGAATCCCCGGGAGGCAATCTCATTGATATTATCTCATTGATATTATACCTGAAAAATAAAGATTATACATTTTCTAAATTGAATGCCCTTGATTTACCGTATGGAAATTGCTTACAAATAACCAATATAATTTTGGAAAGACAACAGATATCAGTCATTTTGTGTTGTTAGTACCTCAATTGAAATACTCAATTCTGATTGGTTGATGAGCGGTCAACAAAATGTATTGTTAGTACCACAACTGAAATACTCGATTCTGATTGGGTGATTAGCGGTCAAAATTATGTACTGTTGACTGCTACTACTGTTGACCGCTACTTCTGAAAAAAAGTTTCATGACGTCACAAAAAAACATGGAAGACGGACATTTTGTAAACGTTGATGAAAATGACTTTACTAGGCGACAAGTATAGCAAAAATACAAATAGAGACTTAAAATAAACCTTAATTCACTAATGAGTACGCCGTGATGTGCCAAATACAGAGTTAAGCTACTTGCACTGTCTCCAGATTTTCTAAAAAAAATATTGCTAATGTGGTAAGGAGGAAAGGTTGTGAAATGAAGCCATGCCGATTGATGATTGTCGTCTATATGTGTATTATTAGTTTACTCGGACTAACAAAACAGTTGTAGACCCCTCCATTCGATCAACCGTTAAAATCATACACCTCGACTGTAAACCTTGAAACTACTGTTGACCTCTACCTTTGGTCTCTGTCAACAGTAGTTTTTCGGTTTACAGTCTCGGTATACAATTTTGCCGGTTGACCTCTGGGGAGGTCAACAATTGTAAACTGTTGACCACTACTAGGTACTGTTGACCCCTATTTTTGAAAAATTGTTTTTTTAATGTTGAATTTTTTTAATTTTGAAAAAATAAGTTGTGTAAAAAATTACAAGTATTCGACGGTTTGGGGATTTTTTGCTAAAATATGATACCTTTACTTATCAAATATGTTCACGTGATATTCGATTATATATTCGTCCAATTATTATATTATTTGGACTAACAGAACAATTGTTAACCTCTCTTTTCGGTCAACTGGCAAAAGTGTCCTCGACCTCTGGTCTTGATCAACAGTACTTTCAAGGTTCACAGTATCGGTATACAATTTTGCCAGTTGACCTTAAGAGAGGTCTACAATTGTATATTATATCCTTCAAATTATTATATTCTTCGGACTCACAAACAATTGTTAACCTCTCTATTCGGTCAACTGGCCAAAGTGTATACCTCGACAGTAAACCCTGAGAGTACTGTTGACCTCGACCTCCGAACTTTCAAGGATTACAGTATCGGTATACAATTTTGCCAGTTGACCTCAAGAGAGGTCTACAATTGTATATTGTATATCCTTTGTTATCCCACCCAAAGTATTATGTCATATATCAAGTTGAAGAGTTGTATATCGTCCCCAAGAGTTGTATAGGATGAGTTTTGGTTTAAAGATATTGCAGTTATACAATGCTATTATATAAAGGTTATTTACTGAGAGGGATTCAATATTGGTTTTATTCCGAGAGACAATATGATATTTCCCGAGGGCCCGGGATATCTGGGATAACTGTACCCCTATCAATTTACCTTTTTGGGCCCTTAATCTTATCACTTTTGCTTACTGCTTACCTTTTTACTCAGTCGGAGAGAAGGAATCCAAAGAGAGCAATAATTCTACATGTGCGTCGTGCAAGATTTCCATTAAACGTGTAATTAAACGGCCTCTCTAATAAAGTCAATTAGACGTTTTTACACGTTGGCTCTCCAAATTGGAGGAAATAAATAATCATTATCATAGATGAAGCAATCATCCCATCAACATAAGCTCACGAATGTCACAGTTAAACTGTTTTAGTTATAATTTGATAAACAGTGGTAACGTACATCTACTAGTTTATCACTGTTCCACAGATGGATGACAGATAATTTCCATATAGCTCATCATGTTTACCGAGAACGAAAGATGTTTGTCCACCATTTTGAATGATACTAACTGGAGTCAGGGTCATCAAGCTATGGAACAGTGGTTTATGAAAATAGATTGGATTACTAAAGCTTGCCATCTGTTCCTCTCGAGATTTATGGTCTTCTGAAATTATACTATTAATTGGTGTTGCTGCATCATTGCTCAAATCTAGAGGAGTGTTGTTGCATCTTCGGTTTGGTGTTGTTGCATCAATAGTGAGGAACTAAAACCGTGAACTTATTGCTTCTTGGTGATGGTACATGTATACTAATGACAGTTTCTTTAAATATAGATCGTGCGCTAACTGCACGTGTATGGTTATTGAGCAACTCGTCCTAGAAATGGGTTTAATTGGGGAAACAAAATATCGTACGAAAATCTATCACCGGAAGTCTGGCCATCTTGATGCAACAACACGGTGTTGTTGCATCACGATACTCCCCAGTGATGATACTTATCAGTCAAAAAATCTTAATAAATTGTTTTGACTTGCTTGGATTTTAAATCATTACAATTTGATTGGGTTGAGGTGCTAAAATAGTAGCAATGGTACATCAAAAATGAACTAATTTTCTCAGAAACCGTGATCCTCATTTAGTGCACAATGATATTTCTCATTTTGTGCATCATTCTAAACTTACTGAAACTCCACTGCCACAAGTCATCCTTTGGTGCAAGATCTTGCATTCCTCCATACACCCACATAGAATTATCATGCACAACTGCACTGTGCCAATGTCTCGCCCCTGGACCTTCATTTTGGAGGGAAGTCGAGTAGGCCAAGTGCCATGCTTCTGTTTCTATAATATAGGAGATACCATGCATTGAATTTTTCTTATCTAGTTTACATGTCATAAGCATTCATCTAAAACTCATTGAAGGCTAATTATCCAGGCCAGTAGCCAGGGGGGGGGGGGTTCGTGCGAGCCCCCCCCCCAGATATCTCCTAAAATAATGTGGACCTACCTTTTTTGCTTTCTTGAAGAATTTTCTGACATTTCGAGGTGGAAGGTAACATTTGGTGACATACGAACGGTGTATTTTGATGTGATTTTTATAAAATTCTAAATTGACAAGAATAGTGAGGCAACTAAATGATTCAGAAATGAATCATATATTTTGATCGTTTAATCGCTCAGAAGGTGCCAAATAAGCCTAAATATTCAATTTTTATTTAAAAACATCCTAGAATCGCCCAGAATGCACTAAATCAGCCCAAAAATCTTAACTTTTTCAGCAGAGCATGTCCCTGATTTTTTAATAAATCATATATTTTCATCTTAGAATTGCTCAGAATGCACCAGAATTGCCCAGAATGCGCCAAATAAGCCTAAAAATTCAATTTTTTGGAAATACGTAAATCATTTATTTTGATCCTAGAATCGCCCAGAACGCACTAAATCAGCCCAAAACTCCTAAATTTTCCAGGAGAGCATGCCCTCTGGCTACATCACTCACAAGCTATTATTTTACAGGCCATGATAATTTGGCTCGAATTTTGTTCCGTCTAAATAAACTAACTAGTCATTTTTAACAACATTAGGGAATTACTGGGCATTTTTCAAAATTTAGGCCCTTATTTTCTTCTGAACAAGCGTGGATTTTTTTAGGTCCCCTCCCTTGCTTTCGTGGCCACCCCTGGTGTCTTGTTAATAACACATACCCTTGTGTGGTCACAATGTGAAGTTGGTTAAGCATGAAAACATTTTTGTGTGTGGCTGGCTACGGGCATGTTATCCTCTTGAACTATGCTATTTTGACTGTGGAATTGCTTTTTATATGCAAGTATATGGAGGGTGAATATCTATAAGGAGGTATACACCAACACCCCTCACTCAACAAATGCCACATGCTTTTTTTAAAATTCAGGAATCATTTTAAAATATCAATGTTGCAAGCTTCTGATTACAAGGACAAAACTAATTAGTTTCATGGTGCTTTGTGGTCCAATAATCATGCATGGTTCGAGTCACCCCCAATGGGCAGTTTAAATCAGAAATCTAACAGCCATTCCTTTGTTTTCCAAATTCCATTCTCTTGGAAAGATCACTTACCAAAATCAAAGCACCATAGTTCACTATTGGAACCTTTAAGATCAATGTATCCCCCATATATATGCATGGCATTAGATGATACAACAGCTGTATGGCCCCTCCTACTGTCTGGACTCAACACCTCTGAATCTATATGATGTTTCTCCCAGGTCTCTGAACCTACAATTGGAAGGAACAGAGTAAAAGATGACAATTTTAATGATTGAGTTTGGAATTGGACAGTATTTTGGCATGTTTGCCCATATAAAGCAACATAATAATAATAAAGGCCACAAATCAGTTAGTGTAAGTGTATAATTCAACAAACACTTGGACTAATGTAGCATTTGTAACTTCTTTCTTCATTTGGAACTTTGCGCAGATGCACCATGCATGTTAAACTCAAGATGATCCATCAGTGACACACAGATGAAAGTAAAAACAAGATGTTAAACAGTGGCAGGAAAGTATTTTGTGACATTTTAGGTACATGCACATGTATAATACTTTCACTTACTTGTACAGAATATCCATAGAGGGGCTTCATCAGAGTAAGTCGAGCCAAACTCACCACCAAACAGATAAATCTTACCCTGGAAACGATAAAATATTAGGACATATGTATATGTGATTCGAACATGACTGTATTCACGCCTTCTATAAACTGTAAACAAAGTCAACATTTCACCCGGGTATATTCGCGAAGATTACCCCTGGTACTACGTGTAATGTGTGACGTCATAACGGCGGGTTGTAGTAATGGCGGACCATAATGAATATTCGAAACATTTTGGTGAGTTTTCATGTTAGAATCGTAATATAGACCTCAGAGCAAGAGTAATATCGTCTCCCTTCGGTCGTTCTGGGTTCAGAAAACGTTTGTGCCTAACCCTGCGGGGTGTATTCGACAAAATTACCTCTGCTCTTCGGTCTATATATCTTAAAGTGTCTCACATATTCGATCAAAATTTGCCATGCAAACATGTTAGTCTACTTTACTGGCCCCCCTTGCTGTAACAAGGAACCCAAAACACATTAAAACGTAAACATAAACCAATTAGTCACTTCAATATGAAAGTGAGGGGTGTTAGTCCATGCACACAGCGTATTCTGCTAATACATATTTGCTAACACAATATCAGTGGTCATTTACTGTGTCAACTTAGTAACCCTTGCATATCGTGCTCACTCAAGTATTGAATATTTTTTTATGATCTAAATGTTTGTGGTTTCACAAAAATGTGATATATTTTAGTTAGAAATACATTTATTGATATATTCATTCAAACAGCACTAGAATGCGGGAAGAAAGAGCAATGGTGACAAAATGCAGACAGAATTTTCTGTAAGGGTTTCAAACATTTCTGGACACAATCATACATGTACTTCATGTGTGCTGTTATTTTTAGTGCTGTATTTATAGATATAATTTCACGTATTAAAATCATATTTTCCAGCAATGACTTCAAATTCGGAACCACACCCATATCACATTTTCTTCAATAACTCCAAACATGTGTAAACATTGACCATGTGCATATAAATTCAGATTTCACGAGCTCTCCTATTTCGAGTACCTCATACACCCCTGCATGGATTTGAGTTGGATTCGCCTTTTATACGTGAGCCGACACACTCGCAAACGCTGATTGGATAAAGATTGCGAGAATCTTTAAATCATGAGTACATGTAGATGTAATTTATTGTGACATATCTTTGTTCCTCATTTGTTTTCTCAACATTTGCTATATTTAAACACAGTGGAACCAAAATAAATAAAAAATATAATAATAAAAAGGAATTTACAATTTAATACAATATCAATTGCTTCAATAGTTTGTACCTATACAGTCAAAGTATAATCTTAATACAAAACAAATAATTCAAAAAAATTATGTAAAAGGTGTGTAGGAACCATTTGAAGATATTCTAAAATCCCAAAATATGAAATGCATTCATTTTACATCTTATATATATGCATTGATCTTTTAATTGCTGCTATGGTTAACTAAGATATAACAGTAATGTAATGCTTTTCTGCATACCTTGTAAGCTACCATAGTGTGTTCCTCCAAGTAGTATGGCCTCTCACCCTTAAACTGAATAGATGACCACTTGTTCTTCACTGCAAATAAAGGATCAAACATACAGTTATTTTGAGCTTTATGTAAAATAAAACATATTTAAAATTTTGAGGAGTTCCAAAATCAATGGTCTGTAACATCAATATTTCTGTGGTTACAAAAATGAATTTAGGAATTTCTTAGCTGATGTTTGTAGAAAGAAAGTACTATGGAGAAGAATTATACTTTTTGCATTATCTCCTTCTTCTATACAGACCTTCTAAATGTTAACCATTAAAAGGCTCGAGGATCTAAAATTACTAGAATCAGGTATTTGATATTACAATGGAATAAATACGTGTTAAGGTTAACCATTATTCTCTACCTATATCATATTTCCACAGATCTTTCATGCCCATACTACCATCCCTTCCTCCATAGATGTAAATACACCCATTAAGTAAACAGGATGCTTGTTTTGATCTTGAAGAAGGTTTCTTAGCCTCATTTTCCTGAGTAATCTGTGACCATACGTAACAGATCTTTTGATTGGTTAGGGAATCTGTGTCATCATCATTAGTATCTTTGGGAGGGGACTAAAAATAGTAAAAATCAAAATTTGGTCAACTTGACTGACAAAATGAACATTTAACAAGGCATCACCGTGCAAAATGTCTCCACCTGTCATTTGTTAAAGACAAAGATCGCTATTACAGATGCTAAACAACAACTGCCGATCACCATCCACAAAAAAGCTGGAGAATATAACGATATGTCACCAATTCTGGTAGTGACAGAAAGATGAAAGCTTCACAGTTTAATATGTACATGTAAAATTACTCTTGATTTTCTTTTTGAATTGAAAAAAATTCATTTATAACTCTACCTTTCCAGACTGTCAATTCTGTATATTGATTATTGAGCTAGTCTAGTCTACTTATCAATTTGTTTAATCTTAAGCAAATTCAAATTATTGACAATAATTTCATTTATGGCAATGTGAGAGTCGGTTAAGGTTTAGGTATGAACAAGCCCTAAGAAGACCATTCCCCGGTTATCCCAGGTAAATGTTTCTGGTAAGTTACACTGAACGAAACATCAAGCTTCAGATCTCGAGAGTACGAGATGAGACTTCAGACGAGATATCGATAGGATTGTAGTTGGAGGGTTTTCTCCCTAGGTGCGTACAAAATCCATTAACATCAATGTAAGTTATACATTTCGATTCTTTTCCCTCACCTCCTTCCCCAGCTTACACCACCAGTTGGAGATTTATTTTCGCCCAAGAAGATGAGTTGGAGATGGTATTATAATATATCCAATTGAGCTAATTAACAGTTATGTCAAAGTGTAAACTCTTGTAGCTAATTAACTTAAATTAGCCATTATTTTCCAAGGTATTGTGTTTTGTGTTAATTGGCTCAATATTTATTTATATTAATTTTATATTAATAATTTTACATGTACGACTCTCACGGCCATATCTATACTCTACATGAACATAAATCACCATACCTTACTACAGTCTATTCTACAGACTGTGTCCAACAACTGTTTGTTACTCTCAGCCCAGATGAGAAACTCAGGAAGGCAAATCTCTTCATTCTAAAAACATGAAATAAGGTAGTGAAAATGGCACCATTTGATAGGCTAACATGGTGATTCCTAACAAGGTGATTTTATTTAGCCCTTCATTCTGACTACTACACGTATATGCATAAATTGTATTTCTAAATATCACAGGAAATCCTTCAAACTGCAAAACCCCTTTCCTCAAGGAAGAAACAGAACATTAAGTACAATAAGTGATATGTAGCCAATAAGCATTTTGAAACTCAGTTTGATTTATTTATGGACTATTTTACCCACACGTTATCTGAAAACTTTGACAGATAGATTTTCATTATTACTATGTGCAAAGAAGTCCCTGTCGGAGCACCTTAAAGGGGCAACAAGGTCTGTAGAGAGAAAATTCGAAATGTTTTATTTTTTCTGATCTATCAACACCTTCTTTGACATACTTATTTTCTTGAAATGTATGTATAAACTATCGATTTCAGCATTAAGAAGTGTAAATTCAGTTCAAAGCTTCTATAAAGGGAGTACCACTTATAGATTTTTAAGATCCACCACATTTCAAGAGGAATATCAGCTGAAATAATTTTCATCCAGGGGGTTTCTTTGTAGATAATAAGAATATATGTTAGTCTTAATGAAATATCCAAACTTAAATATATTTTGACACTGGTTGATGATCATTGAATGGCCCCCCTGCACTAATTGTTGCACCTTTAAGACACTTTTATAAATGGATAATAAGTCCACCAAATTTAAAACTTAGAATATGAATTGTAGAATCTCTGACATGTCGCATTTGTAAGGCTATAGAAAATCATCCACAACAAAAGACTACATACCATCAAATAAAACATATTATTCCATAGTTAGCATGATATTCATAGGATACATGTGAAAAAAACGGTATTTTTGTAATCAGTGGTAAAATATGATATTTTTGACAAATTTTCACTTAACCATAGCATACGGCGCCTTATGCAATGGTTTATGGATTTTTGCTACTTCAGACTAAGTGTCAACATCGCCGGATCGTTTGGAAAATTCGAATTAAATCACTTAATTTCAGACGATTCTGATGATGACTTTAACTATGGAATAAAAAGAACATCCTCTATTTCAATTACCTTATTACTGTAGATGCTGTCAATTATTTCTGTAACCACTGACCCTGTATTCATGTAATATACAGCACCTACAAGATAATAAACAGGTGTAGCATGTTGTCATTAACTCAGTTGATTCAGATTGGTAAGTTGGTAAGAGCAGATATGTTTTGATTCATACTTTTGATTGATAGTGTATACTATAGTGTTGTGGATAACCCCACATCATAATGTCTATAATTTTAATGATAAAACAATAATGTGATGTGTTCACATAACTGTGAAAATGTCAGTATTAAGGAATCATCGAATTAAGCGCCTATCCATACTTTAACTCTTATACACAAAAAGGCTGATTTGTTTTTGCAAGTTTTCTAACAATCACCTATACACATCACAGGTACATTTGCAAAATGAATTGATCAAATACTTTTGAGTAATTGACAACTTTCTTCGCCAGGAGATGAAATACTATTTTGAGTTTTAAAACAGACATACCTTGATAACCATTTTTTGTACTCCTGAGGTAAATTCTGAAAAAAAGGATAAAACAAAGATGGATGAATGCACATAGAATCAGGGGTATAACATGGCTAATATACATATACAGTGAAACCAGTGTAAGGTAATAAACATACATGATTTAGCTAATAATGGTCAACCCTTTCATAATATTCAAATAAATAAGATGGACATTCTACACATCACAGACTGACAAAATGTCTGGTTAGATGCTGTACCAATTATAACGATTATAAAACCTCGAGTGTTCAAAGGTTTTGCAGTATCAATACTGTAGAAACAACTCACTCAATACTTTAAACTTGAGATGCATTAACCAATTCAATGTAATACAGGTGAGGTATTCTTGTAGTGTTAACTAATGGGGTTTAATAATTACATGTATGTATAGACTTCCATTAAGGCAAAATCATTACATAAAATAGTACTTCTGTCTCATCACCCAATTCCTTGCATGAATCTATTATTTTCTCACACTGCTCTCCCAAAGTATTCCTTTTGGCTAAAGCTCTCAATTGACCAAGATTTATTTTCTGACAAATCAATGTTAATCAATTAAGGATGTATTTGCCCTTTTTACACTCTGTCTGTAGAACAACATTCGAAAGACCCTGGATCAATCAAGATGCAATTTTTGCATGAAACTAATCAATTAAGGTAACTCGTTCATTCTCTTTTACATTCTATTTCAATCTCTAAACCTCCTCCCTTACTCCAGTGTAAGCATTCGGGATATCAAGTTACTTTCATGCTTGTGATGATGAACAAGACACACAGTGATAAATATCGCACTTTGAAGAGCAAACTGGTCTACCATGCAATTAGCCCAGCATGGCCAAAACCTAATCAGACCTTGGCACTAGTCTGCTCTTGCATCTGTAAACATTTCAAGTTGACAAGGTTAGCGGTTTTCCTGCAATTTTGATGACAAGAATTTATTTGTAGTCTTGAACTTTGGGAAAATTTAGATAACATTGTTTGTGACCTAATTTGATGACCTTCGACCTTGAAAATTTCACTTTTTCAGACCTCAGTAGGTGTTTTGTAATTAAGCTGACCTAAATTTAAATCCAAAATATCAATTTAGAAAATCAACTTTTTTGACCTTTTGAAGGTCACTGAAGGTGAACGAAAGGTCAAATCTGAAATCTAAGGTCAGATTTGAACTTCTGAGAACTTGTAGATGTTTTTTAAAAAAAAATTTGGTCAATTTGGAGCAAGTTGAAAAATTCAAAATGGCCGCCAAATTGAAAAATTCAAAATGGCCACCATGTCATTCAGCCAGCATACCCAAAACCTAATCAGATCTAGGCAATAGTCTGTTCTTGCATCTGTAAAAATTTCAAGTTGAACGGATAAGTGGTTTTCCTGGAATTTTGATGACAAGATTTGTTGAAAAATTCAAAATGGCCGCCACGTAGTTTACCCAGCATGCCCTTAACCTAATCAGATCTTGGCACTAGTCTGCTATTGCATGTGTAAAAATTTCAAGTTGAACAGGTTAGCGGTTTTCTTGGAATTTTGATGACAAGAATTGATTTGTAGTCTCAAACTTTGAGAAACTTGGATAACATAATTTGTGACCTAGTTTAATGACCCTGACCTTCGACCTTGAAAATTTCACTTTTTCAGACATCAGTTGGTCTTTTGTAATTAAGCTGACCTAAATTTAAATCCAAAATATCAATTTAGAAAATCAACTTTTTTGACCTTTTCAAGGTCACTGAAGGTGAATGAAAGGTCAAATCTGTGACCTAGTTTAATGACCTTTGACATTCGACCTTGAAAATTTCACTTTTTCAGACCTCAGTAGGTGTTTTGTAATTAAGCTGACCTAAATTAAAATCCAAAATATCAATTTAGAAAATCAACTTTTTTGACCTTTTGAAGGTCACTGAAGGTGAACGAAAGGTCAAATCTGAAATCTAAGGTCAGATTTGAACTTCTGAGAACTTGTAGATGTTTTTTAAAAAAAAATTGGGTCAATTTGGAGCAAGTTGAAAAATTCAAAATGGCCGCCAAATTGAAAAATTCAAAATGGCCACCATGTCATTCAGCCAGCATACCCAAAACCTAATCAGATCTTGGCTATAGTCTGCTCTTGCATCTGTAAAAATTTCAAGTTGAACGGATAAGTGGTTTTCCTGGAATTTTGATGACAAGATTTGTTGGAAAATTCAAAATGGCCACCACGTAGTTTACCCAGCATGCCCTTAACCTAATCAGATCTTGGTACTAGTCTGCTCTTGCATCTGTAAAAATTTCAAGTTGAACAGGTAAGCAGTTATCCTGGAAATTTGATGACAAGATTTGGTTTATGTGCCGCCCGCACGCCCGCCCAACAGCACAAGACGACGACAATATAGCACTTTTTCAAAGTGCGATAAAAAATCAATGAGTTAACCCAGAAATAACTTCACCACAAAGAACCAAAGTACACACTTTAACAACAAAAATCAATCCAGATGAATAATGAATAACAATAATTAATTCGTGTTCTAACATAGTTTTTAGTTTTTACACAGTTGGCCAACAAAACAATAGCTGCAGCCAAGACATTTCTAGTTTTTAATGGAACACCAGGGCAGTAAAGTACAGAACCCATGAAAATATCTAAAATTTTCTTTATTCATAAATTTATATCCATGGATGAATTATTTTACTGGATAACTGATTGACCAGTGCAGAGATTTCTAGTCACTTTTTAAGGAACTCACTAAATAATGTTTTAATATAAGAGTTCAATTAATATAAGTTCAATTATAAAACTACAGGTTTCAAGAGCCCACTGGTTACTCTAGAAAATCAATATATTTCCTTATTGCTATAGTTACTATAAACAAATAGAGATAACTGATTCCATTCAAGAAAATTATGTTCAATATAGGACAGTGAATAGAAATTTCTGCATTTGCTTTCAATTAATTATTCAGGTTCTATATAGGTGTTATTAATCTATATTAGGGTTAGCAATGAAAACATGTCAAATGGCTCTTTAATCTTCAATTCTCAATAGTAAAAGAAAAGTAATGTATTTTAGAAAATCTTGTGATTTTGATTAAGGCCATATACAGGGTGACCCAAAAAAAATGCAACCCTCCATTTCTTCAATATTTTTCTTAAAAGGCGGTAAATTGCTCTGAGATTTGGCACACGAGGACTTCATTCAATGTGGGATCATCTGGCAAAGTTTTAATAATCATAGTTTTAAACTGCTCATAACATGGATGCATTTTTCCCCATGGGTATGGCTCAAATTTTTGCAGCCATTGCTTGTTGGAGTTCTGCAATTGCGGTAGGGTTATTTTCATACACATTATCCTTTAAATAACCCCATATAGAGAAGTCAGGGGCATTGAGATCAAGACTGTGGGATGACCATGTGTTCTCCATCCTAGGAGAGATAATCTTCTCATAGAAATGACTAGTGAGCCAGGCTAGGCTATCATTAGAAGTGCGAGGAGTAGCTCTATCCTTTGAGAACCACTGTTCTTGTCTATTGAAGCCTCTATGTCACTCTAGAACTGCCTAGAACTTCCTGGGAAAGCCAATATTGCGCTGTGTGTTAACAGTAACAGTGTTGCCATTATCAACCTCAAACCAAAAGGGGATGATGATTTCATGTTTGGAAATTGGCAGCCCAAGCTGTGCATTTAACAGAATGAAGGGGCCTTTGAAGCACTTCATCTGGAATTTGTGATCCCAGAACGCATTATTTCTTGAGTTTACATGTTCAGAAAGAAGGGAATGTGATTCATCCGAAAACCTAACATTGGAAATGGCGACATTTGGAGCATATTTTGGAACGACCATAACTCTATCAATATAAGACTATGATTATTGAAACTTTGTCAGGGGATCCCACATTGAATGACGTTCTTGTGTGTCAAATTTCAGAGCAATTAACCTCCATTTAAGAAAAATATTGAAGAAATGGAGGGTTGCATTTTTTTGGGGTCACCCTGTATAACATGAGATGGGATATTGCAATATACAAGTATAAAGCAACTCAACTTGCCCAAACTCAATGTGTTGATTTTAGAACTCTTTATATTAGGAGAACCTAGGCGCTATAAATAGGAATACAGCAAAATCTACAAATTGGAACACCTCTGTAAGTGGAGCAGATCTATAAGTTGAACACTAGCACTTGTGACAAAGCCCTGTTGCCTACTAATTTAGTGTAAAGTGAGCGTCTTTCAGTGTAAGACCTCCCAAGTGTAACATTATTTTGAAATATCCATTGCATTTCACCTATACACATTTTACTGGGGCATTAAAGCATTTATAGTGACTGTAGTGCAAACAATAATAAAATCCTTGGTAAATGTTTTTTTCTTCCTTGTTCATTTCAGCCAATCAGAATGTTATCTCCTTCATAAATAAAATATTATTGCTAGAGGGTTAATGTGAGAATGTCAAAGTAATTTATATCAGTAAATTGGGCTAAATTAAAATATCTGTTAGAGCGCTTGAGATATAGCCAACATGAGTTTTGTAAATTTGATATATTTTTTTAATGTAACAAGAGATTCATAAATTATAAAAATATTATCTTAGTATTGGGGCTATTGATAAATGTTGTGTGTGTTTAGGGGTTTCAATTTTATTTCAAATGGGCTTGATCCTGTACTCCAGTGCTGATCTTCTGTACTATATACATGAATCCATAACGGTTGTGATCTCAAATTTTGTAAAAAACAAAAATGGTTTATTTGCACAAAAAAGGTATTCTTGCCCTACATGAAACCACAAAAGATGTGTTAGAAATGACTTAATTATCTTTCAATCATTTCTAGCACTTATGTAAAGAAATTGAACCTTGTATAATCATGATGGGTATAGGCAATATAACATTGAAGATTTACCTCTGGGCAGCCAGGAGGACTGTAGTTAGGACACCCGACAGCTCCTCTTTCTGGATTGCCCTCCCACATAGCTGGTACTGGAAACAACAATTTACAATATTACATCTTGTAATACATCTAATAATGCATAAGCACTGACAAAATTTGAGTTTGGGTCATGTGGGTCATTCATATATTTGTATGTTGTAATACAATGCAGTAGTCATAGAAACAAATAAAATGACAGAAAACGATGACAATTTACTTCACAGATTATTTTGATATCCAAATACCTAGCTGTATATACAAAGTGATTCCAGCTATATACATGTACATGTAGTATCAAACATACAGGATAAATTCTGGTATTGTGTATATACACACAAGTGTATGTTACACCAATATAGTACTTGGAATATTAAGAGCATTGTCAATATAATATGCTTGGGAGACATTGATAAACATTTCAATTTATCTTGGACAACTTTTAGTTCAACTTTTGAAATGTGTGTATTTGCAATTTATAGTGAAATACCCATATGATAAATCTTAGAATTAAGAGTGTTCATTGACCTTTAAGTATAAATGTGATACACCCTAATAATTGTGTTGAATCTTTTATAAAAAATACAAGTTTATATGAGGGCATCATTGACTAATTAGAATTAGAAATACAAAATAACACAGCTATTTTGAGAAACGTTATATACAGTAGCATACACAAAACATCTCAAGCTACATAAAATTAAATTGCATGATTTTGGTCAAAACCTCTATTTAAATATTGACATATTACATGCTCAAATTCATGTTTCCTTATAGAACTATGAGTTTGACCTTGTATTTAATATGTTATGAGCATCTTTAGCCATCAAAATTAAAATTTGACCATATGATGTCAAAGGTTTGCTACACAAAGACTAAGTGTCCTGAGTTTATAAGGCCTATAAATAAATTGCTCTTATAAAATATCATACTTTTAATATCTCAATTAAACTCCTCTCTATTCAAAATGTCATTAGTTAAAAAAATCTACATTGTGTACATTCAATTCAAGCATATATCTTTAAAATTACTTCTCATGATTTCATAACACTACTTCACCAAACCTAGGAACTACATTTCCAAAAAATGTTCAAAACTGATTTGTTCAAAACTTGAATATTCATCAGTTTTAGTGGTTCATTTTTCATATTACACTTGGGTATTTGATAGTGATACAAATTAAAATATGTCCAAAGAAAGTAAATATTATCTGTCCAATACAAGAAAAGATATTTCACTTTTTGTGATTTTATAGTATGGAATCTATGGAATATCTCCCCGACCAAGAAGTCACATTTTCAAAGAAAATTTCAATTTCAAAATTGCGCGTTTGATTTTATAAAAAATGCCAAACTTTGTGACAACGAATTTCATCAGCTATTGCCCCGAACCGGTCCGTATTCTCTCTGCAAGCAGATTGCCCCGAACTGGTCCGTCTTCTCGCTGCAAGCAGGATGAAATTCTTTGTCACAAAGTTTGGCATTTTTTATAAAATCAAACGTGCGTCATTGAAACTCACAAGATGTAAATAGCATGTCATTTACATCATACCTTGATGGGGAAAAATAGATCCTATATGTAAGAAGTACTAAATAAAAGTTATCGTGAAAATGAGACAGTCGTTCTCGAGAGAAAAGAGCATAAATGCGCATTTAGAGAGTTTTGGTCCGTTTAAAAATCTGTAAAAAATTGGGGTACTTAAAAGCATCGGGAGGCATCATATATTTCAAATTAGACACGAGGAAGTCAATATTGAGCAAGTTATGGCTGTTTTAAATTCAAATAAAACCGTTAACCCGTACCGGTCCAGCTTTTGACCCGTACCGGTCAATTTTCGTTAGCTGCATATACCAAGGGTGAAATTGGTAAACACTTTTTTTAAAACCACATTTCTAAATGTAATTTACATGTATATTTCAAATATGATATCACTTTGACTGATTTTTGGATTTTTAATGACCGAAATCAAAATTGTTTCGACTTGCATCTAATCTATTGTTATCAAATTTTCCTAGTCTATTATAACTAACTTTTCATAGTCTATTACAACTAACTTTTCCTAGTCTATAAAACAAACTCATCCTAGTCTAATATAACCAAGTTCTTATCTTTTAGGGGAGGCATCAACAGTTCAATGTCGGATAGAAAACTAAATAAATCTAGTTAGGGGGAGGGGGTTCGAACCCATTTCAGTTTGCTATCCGACAAATTTCAACATTTCAAATTTTTGGCAATTTTGACTCAGAATGCCTTGGAATGGTTTAAAAATAAAGATTTTACCTGATGCTTTCTTCGTCAAGATCATTCCAAAGGATTCTATTCTATCAACAGTTGTTAAAAGCCGCAAATGAAGATAGGAATTAACAAAAACTAGATCATGTTTAGCAATAATTTTTCAAATTCTCAAAACGGAAGTCAGCGATCAACTTTCATGGTATTTAGTTTTTGGGGGGAGGGGGGGGGGGGGGTAGGGTCTGAGTCAAAACTAGATTTATTTAGTTTCCAATCCGACATTGAACTTTTGATGCCTCCCCTTACAAACTACATCATCACAGTCTATTACCACCAACTCCTCAAGGTCTACTATAACCAGGTCCTAGTCTACTACAACCAAGTCCCCATGGACTATTATAACCCAACCCAAGTCTATTACCACCAACTCCTCAAGGTCTACTATAACCAGGTCCTAGTCTATTACAACCAAGTCCCCATGGACTATTATAACCCAACCAAAGTCTATTACAACCAACTCATCAAGGTCTACTATAACCAGGTCCTAGTCTATTACAACCAAGTCCCCATGGACTATTATAACCCAACCAAAGTCTATTACAACCAACTCCTCAAGGTCTACTATAACCAGGTCCTAGTCTATTACAACCAAGTCCCCATGGACTATTATAACCCAACCCAAGTCTATTACCACCAACTCATCAAGGTCTACTATAACCAGGTCCTAGTCTATTACAACCAAGTCCCCATGGACTATTATAACCCAACCAAAGTCTATTACCACCAACTCATCAAGGTCTACTATAACCAGGTCCTAGTCTATTACAACCAAGTCCCCATGGACTATTATAACCCAACCAAAGTCTATTACAACCAACTCCTCAAGGTCTACTATAACCAGGTCCTAGTCTATTACAACCAAGTCCCCATGGACTATTATAACCCAACCCAAGTCTATTACCACCAACTCATCAAGGTCTACTATAACCAGGTCCTAGTCTATTACAACCAAGTCCCCATGGACTATTATAACCCAACCAAAGTCTATTACAACCAACTCCTCAAGGTCTACTATAACCAGGTCCTAGTCTATTACAACCAAGTCCCCATGGACTATTATAACCCAACCCAAGTCTATTACAACCAAGTCCCCATGGACTATTATAACCCAACCCAAGTCTATTACAACCAAGTCCCCATAGACTATTATAACCCAACCCAAGTCTATTACAACCAAGTCCCCATGGACTATTATAACCAGGTCCTAGTCTATTACAACCAAGTCCCCATGGACTATTATAACCCAACCCAAGTCTATTTATTACCACCAACTCCTCAAGGTCTACTATAACCAGGTCCTAATCTATTACAACCAAGTCCCCATGGACTATTATAACCCAACCAAAGTCTATTACAACCAACTCCTCAAGGTCTACTATAACCAGGTCCTAGTCTATTACAACCAAGTCCCCATGGACTATTATAACCCAACCCAAGTCTATTACAACCAAGTCCCCATGGACTATTATAACCCAACCCAAGTCTATTACAACCAAGTCCCCATGGACTATTATAACCCAACCCAAGTCTATTACCACCAACTCCTCAAGGTCTACTATAACCAGGTCCTAGTCTATTACAACCAAGTCCCCATGGACTATTATAACCCAACCCAAGTCTATTACAACCAACTCCTCTTAGTCTTTTGCAACCAAATCCTAATAGTCTATCCCAACCAACTATTCATGGTCTATTATAACTAACTCCTCATAGTGTATTACAAATACACCCTAATCTATTCCATCTGACTCCTCATTGCCTACTGCAACCAAATCCTATTAGTTTATTGCAACCAAATCCTAATAGTCTATCCCAACCAACTATTCATGGTCTATTATAACTAACTCCTCATAGTGTATTACAAATACACCCTAATCTATTCCATCTGACTCCTCATTGCCTACTGCAACCAAATCCTATTAGTTTATTGCAACCAAATCCTAATAGTCTATCCCAACCAACTATTCATGGTCTATTATAACTAACTCCTCATAGTGTATTACAAATACACCCTAATCTATTCCATCTGACTCCTCATTGCCTACTGCAACCAAATCCTATTAGTTTATTGCAACCAAATCCTAATAGTCTATCCCAACCAACTATTCATGGTCTATTATAACTAACTCCTCATAGCGTATTACAAATACACCCTAATCTATTCCATCTGACTCCTCATTGCCTATTGCAATCAAATTCTCATGTTTCATTTCTTCCTAATTTCACTCGCACACAGACACGTGGCGTCATTGATATAACGTAGCCATGATGTAAAAGTATGTAATACAACAGTTATGTCCGTATCATTGAATATATGCCTTCGGTCTGTCGTAATATAACCCTCGCAAGCTCGGGCTATATTGGTGACAGACCTTAGGCATATATTCAATGATAGGGACATAACTGCTAAATATATATCAAAAAGATGTATAAATAAAGTAACCTACTTACCAGTTGAAAAAGTAAATCAATCCTTTCAGAATTCTTCCCACTAGCAAATAAAGTCAGTCCACCTGAAAATAAAACAGACATTTCAAATTAATGATGGCTCTAAATGCACCCTGGGTCTATATAGATTAATAAAACATTTGGCCCATAATCATCTCCTGCCAAGGGGGGATTCACTTTTCAAAAAGTTCCAAGTGGATTCATATTTAACAACTTTGGCCCAAAATCACTTGAAAAGTACTCAGAATGGTAAATAAAAAAACTGCATGATTTTGAAAGAATTTTTGGTTCACTCGAACCATCCCCCTTAAAAACGGGCCTGTAATTATACTAGTGCAAATGATTAACAACTTAGAAGCTGATGAAATCTTACCGATCTCAAATGTAACATTCATGGTTTGTATTTAAAAGAAATACTTAAAGATAGAATATGTGTAGTGATTAAGGTCAGGGTGCATGATGGGAAATTTTCTGCATTCCTCAATTGAGTCACATGTTATTTTTCAAACAAGAATCACGCCTTCCCTACATTGTCTATATCTTCCAGTTTTGCACAAAGAGTGCACTTATGTGCCTAAAAAAGACTTGTGAGAAGAATGTTTTGATAAAGTGTATAAAAAACAAGAAAATTCAGTTAAAAAAATCAGAAAATTTTCAGAATTTTTTTTCACTGAATTTTCTCATTTTTTTTACATTTTACAAAGCAAACCTTCTCACAAGGCTTTTCTAGGCACATAAGTGCACTCTTTGTGCAAACTTGGAAGATGTAGACAATGTGGGGAAGGAGTTATTCTTGTTTGAAAAATAACATGTGACTCAATTGAGGAATGCAGAAAATTTCCCAACATGCACCCTGTCCTTAAGCAGATCATATTTTGGTTGGAAATGAACTTTTATTTCAAACTAGAAAATGGCAAATCCACGGATTAGCAAATCCCAAAGAACACTAAATAAATCGTGAATCTGTACAGTCACAATGTAATATTTACGATCTACTCTTTCCTTCAATAAATATTTGACATCATTGTAGTGTCATTTTACCATACTTTCAAGATAACTCTAAGTAATGGTGAATTCCAGCTCTAGGCAGCCATTTTGAATTTTCTGAGGCACAAATCAGAAAAACAATACCATAATTGAATTGAATTTTACGAGGCCCGAATCAGAAAAACGATACAATATTTGCAATCTACTCTAAATTGCCTTTCATTTGAGTATAATAAAGCTATACTTTAAATTAGTGCAAATTCCTGTTTTTTGAACCCCCATTCACGGCACCTGGGGGTAAGGGTGAAAAACACAGAGTATATGTGAAAAAGATAGATCTTGTAAATATACTACCAAAATTCCAAATAATAATAATAAAAATTTGCAAAAAATTCCCGTCATTTTTAAACCGGCAGCCATCTTGAAATTTTTTTTTACGTAAAACTGTTCACCAATATACATCTTTCAACCAAATATGAAGAAAATCTGTCAACTAGTATTCAAGTTATCTTCTGGACAGACGGACGGATGGATGGACAGACAGACTGACGGACAGACGGATGGCTTCACTGTATCCCTACTGAACTTTGTTCGTTGGGATAATTAAAAGAGTGTAGATAATATCAGCTTTATTTCAATGTACTGGAAGGCTATTGCGAGACCCTTATGAAATAATTCATTTAATCATGTTGTCTTGACAATGACTAATTGAGACTTATAAATCTCTTCACAATCTCTATTAATAAATCTGTCACTATGACATATCACTATGATAGAGAGCAGAATAACATAAAAAATACTAATTTGATTTCAAGGTTCATAACTACTTTTGTCTTGTTGAGTAAATCAAAGTAATCAAATTAATTCATTTTAAACTAAACCTTGGTGTAGTCATGGTTTAAATAATTTAGTGTTGTTTAATGTTACATTTTAGAATCTGGAAAAAATACATCTTTTCATAAATAGTTGTGTTTCATTGCCACTGACTCCTCAATTTTCTCCAAATGGCATTGATTATTTGGCAATTGTGTAGATGATTTCTATTTAAGAAATATAGACCGAAGAGCAGGGGTAATAATTTTGAATACAACCCACAGGGCTAGGCACAAATGTTTTCTGTATCCCGAACGACAGGAAGGGAGATATCACCCCTGATCTGAGGTCTATATTACGATTTGAACATGAAAACTCACCAAAATGTTTGAAATATTCATAATGGTCCGCCATTACTATGACCTGCTGTTATGACTTCACACATTTCACGTATTACCAGGGGTATTCTACGCGAATATACCCTGGGTGAAATGGTGACTTTGTTTACAGTTTATAGAAGGCGTGAATACAGTCATGTTCGAATCTTTGTTTGGTTGAAGTTTTTATTAACTTCCTTCAGTTTAACTATTGATTATGATACATCTTGTCAAAGGGGACACTGTTGGGTTTTGTCCATAGCATTAGACTATTCGGTGTCAGTAATTCAAACTATGGGGCCTGCCCCTGCCAGTCTCTATTCAATGTGTACAAATATGGTAAAATATGTTCAGTTATTTCAATGAACTTACCTAAACATTGCTTCCAGTTTATAATTCCATCATCATCTTCATCAAAGATGTCTAAGACAGTCTTACTAACATCACTGGGGTAGTTCAATAGCTGAAGGCTGCAAACAGACACATTGGATATATTGATTCATACAACTACATATTAAAGAACAT